TGAGTGCATGCGTGGAAAGCTGTGAGAGCGATATTGTATTGTGCAAAAACACAATACAACTGTCACACAAAACAAATGGGTATCTCAGGGAGGAGAGCACCAGCAACTGAGCTCCAAGGAGAGGCTTAGAAAGGAGCACTGGTTTTGTTAGTGTTTCTGATGACCCTCTTTCTTCTGTAGTACCTGCAGGGAAAAGAGCAACACAAACCAAATAACAAGCAAGAGGCAGAGATGAATTTTATTAAAACACTAAAAAGTATCTAAATTAACACACAAGATTAATCAACTCAAAGAAAGTTGAAATGTCACCCAGTTTGTTTCCTTTCAACAGATCGAGAGAACCAGTCCATCCTGATCACGTACGTACGACGTTATGTGGTGTTTGCTCACACATTCTGCATTCACTTTATTTTCCCATCATTCACTTGGTGCTGATTCTTTCATCAGCGGAGAATCCGGTGCCGGGAAGACGGTCAACACAAAGCGAGTCATCCAATACTTTGCAACAATTGCATCAATCGGAGACTCGAGCAAGAAGGAGCAAGTGTCTGGAAAATTGCAGGTTCAGTTCGCTTAACTTACATTCTGATAAATCTGAAATATCACTTTGTTTTTCTTGAATTGTGTCCTGTTTTCTACAGGGGACTCTGGAGGATCAAATCATCCAGGCCAACCCGCTCCTGGAGGCTTTCGGGAATGCCAAGACTGTGAGGAATGACAACTCGTCTCGATTTGTGAGTTCACATTGGATCTGTACAGAAACCCAGGGTGGCCGTGGTTGTTTTTGTTTTTTTTCATCATTAAGAAAACAGGAATTTGATTGTGTTACAATGACAAAAGACAGCTCTGCTTTATCTCTACAACAGTGCAATTCACATTTGATCCTAAAGGATAACTTTACAATCAACAGATCCCATTAAAAACCATTAATAAGTGCAACCAACTAATAAGTACTTTGTGTGTCTCCAAAATCTGATTTACCTTTTTTTTCTGTCCCATAGGGCTCCATTGTTGTCCAAAAACTATAAAAAAAACACATCACTGAGCCACACTAAATTGTTCCAGCAGCTACTCTCCAGAGATAGTGTCTGTATTTGTCATAATGAAGAAACATGTCTGCCACTACAATGATGTAGTTCGATGATATGTTTTAAGTATTTTTTGTACAGCAATGTAGCTCAGAAACCAGATACACAAACAATACTTGTTATGTGTTATACAGAAACTGCACCTGTGAGGTCTTGTGACATCCCAAAAAAAAGTGTAAAAGTGTGTTTCACCCAATCTGTCATTCAGATCAGTGTTTTATTTGAAGAATAACTTCCATGTTATACTTTATTAGGGAAAATTCATCCGCATCCACTTTGGAACAAAGGGGAAGCTGGCATCTGCTGATATTGAAACTTGTAAGTTTTAGCATGACAGCAGAATTTGTGTGAATATAAACATCATTCACATTAATATGAAAATAATCAATATTCTGCTGTCAGTCCTTGTTTTGCATCATGTGTTTGATTTTTGTTCATTCTTAGACCTTTTGGAAAAATCCAGAGTGACTTTTCAGCTGCCGGCGGAGAGGAGCTATCACATCTTCTATCAGATCTTGTCAAACAAGAAGCCTGATTTAATTGGTAAATAAACTGATCAATAAGTGATTATGACGCTGTGTCCGTAGCTCAGCGTTATCAACACTGCCTGTGTTTGATTTCAGAGATGCTGCTGATAACCACCAACCCTTATGATTACCCGTTCATCAGCCAGGGAGAGCTCACTGTGCTGAGCATCGACGATACAGAGGAGCTGATGGCCACAGACGTGAGTGGGTCAGATTGTGTGCAGAAATGTAAAATAATGGTTTAAATCATTAGATTAATCATTACTATATTATATAATATTATAATGTGAAAATGCCCACAAAAATCACAAAATTAAGAGTTTGCAGAGTGAAATCTGTTTTATTCAACATGTCAGGCAAAACTTAAACCTTACACTGAGATTTTGTCAGATTTTTTTAACATGTACATTCATTTTGGTTTGTAAATAGTCACACAAACAATCTGGGAGCTAATTAACCCAGTAAAAACTTAGCACACACAGATATGGTGCATCAGGTCTTAATGGGTTCAAACAAACCAACTTCCTATTTACTTGTTTGCACACCATCCATACTATTCTAATGTCAACATGCCATTCTGATGAGATATTTTTTACATTTGTTCATTCAATAATTTCATGCGAAAAATCACCCCTGCAACAAAAACAATGATGTTTTACATTAATCCTGACCCTTTGTTTATCACTGTACAACAAAATACTGCCATATAATATTTTTTACATGTAATCATAACTTACTGCAATGAAAATCCAGTGATTATTTAGCATCATTATCATTAATTTTTGCAACAAAACAATGCAGAACAGATTAGAATATTGCATATTTAGTGCTAAACTTACAGTAGCAATTGCATTGTTTCAACGTCTGTGTCCGTTCTCCAGAGCGCCATTGACATCCTGGGGTTTAACGCGGAGGAAAAGGTCGGCATCTACAAGCTGACGGGTGCTGTGATGCACAACGGGAACATGAAGTTCAAGCAGAAGCAGCGGGAGGAGCAGGCCGAGCCTGATGGCACTGAGGGTGAGACGCCTGAGGTGACGCCTCGGGCCTAAATTTAAACCAGATTAAGCGTCAGCTTGGCGTCAACATCACAGCTTCGCCCCTCAGTGTTGATCACTTATTAAAAAGTTCCTTCTGTAGCCTTCTGTAGCCAAGTACAGTGAGGTCCAAAAGTCTGAGACCAAGAGTAAAAATACTTATATTTTGCCCTCTGTTTGGATTTAATACAGATTTTGTTTTATCCGTATAAAGTTGTGAAAAAGTCGATGAATTTCAGAATATCTCAGTATTAATTTACCATTCTTCTGCTTAAATTACATTACAGCAGTGCTCGAGTTGCATTGCACTCCACCAGTTTATTCACTGTGGGTTTGATCCACTGTGCCATTGTTTTCTCTCCTATTGATCTATCTGCGATTCCATCGGTACATTTTTTTCTTTCCATCATCCACTGTGAAATGCTGCTGTAACTAGGGCTTCAACTTTTATATTCATTGGCAATCAATCTGTAGATTATGTTTTCAATTAATCAGTTGTTTGGTCTATTAAATGGCACAAAATGGTAAAAAATTTTCATTCGTTTTTTCCTAAGCACAAGATGACATCTTCAAATGTTGCCTACAACCTAAAGACATTCAGTTTACTGTCAAAGAGGAGGTAAGACACCAGAAAATGTTTGGATTCTAAAAGCAGTAATCTTTTTTTCACTTACACATATTATTGCAAGATTTGTCCTTGTTTCCCCTCCTGAGAAGTGGTTTAGAGATGCTGCTTATACCCTGAGAACAACAGTTTTCTTTTGACAGAATGCTTGCTGAGCTTTATGCCCCTTGTTGAGTGAATTTCATATCTCTAAAGTTACTACTTTTCCATCTCTCACTGAACAATTCTTAATTTATTAATCTTCTGATAATGTGCTCACTTTTAGTGCTTTGGACACAGGTGTTCTAGAGCTCCGGTCACTTCCTTTTTAGAAACCTTCAGTCCTGCCATGATTTGACTCTGAAAAAGCTCCTCTTTGCTCAGACTAACAATCTGACTTCTGACACTTTCCCTGTTTTTCTAATACCATGTTTTCTGCCATCACAGTGCTACTTAGTGAGCAATGTTCTGCTGGAAACTTTAATCACAGCCATATTTTCCACAGGTGAGCAATGGCTGCAGGTTTTATTTGGTCTCATCTGAACACTGCTGTCAGGGGAAGGATGCATCTCAAGTAAAGCTAACCTTCTGTACACAGGGGCTAACATGGCCACTGCCAGAAACAGAGCAGAATCTGAAATATTTATGTTTTTAAATGTTTGTAAATGCTCAAAGTTTCTGATTACTTCCAAGTTTACATGAAAAGTGTCTGATTTTCGATGTGGTCTCAGACTTTTGGACCTTGCTGTACATGCTTTGCAATTTGACCTCTCTCGACTGTTGTATGTTCTTATAGTGGCAGACAAAGTTGCCTACCTGATGGGTCTAAACTCAGCTGATTTGCTAAAAGCACTGTGTTACCCTCGAGTAAAGGTTGGGAATGAGTATGTCACCAAAGGTCAGACTCCACAGCAGGTACACCATGTTTCTACAGCTGAAAACATCTGTTTATTACGCTCTATCTGAAAGGAAGTGAAGTGAAAGCGATGCCTGATTTTCAGGTGAACAATGCCATGGGTGCGCTGTCTAAGGCCGTGTACGAAAAGCTGTTCCTGTGGATGGTCACGAGGATCAACCAGCAGCTCGACACCAGACTTCCCAGACAGCATTTCATTGGCGTCCTGGACATCGCAGGATTTGAAATCTTTGAGGTGAGCAAAATTCACAATAAGATAAAAATCAAATAAATCACATAAACAATGTCTTTGATTGTTCGATGAGTCAAATGTTGCTGTTTAATTCAGATGAACAGCCTGGAGCAGCTGTGCATCAACTTCACAAATGAAAAACTGCAACAGTTTTTCAACCACCACATGTTCGTGTTGGAGCAAGAGGAATACAAAAAGGAAGGGATTGCGTGGGAGTTTATTGACTTTGGCATGGACTTGGCAGCCTGCATTGAGCTTATTGAGAAGGTACATCCCCTTAATGTAAACACAAATATTCATATCAACAAAGAACACAACACTAATCGCCTTTCTGCCCTCCAGCCGATGGGGATTTTCTCTATTCTTGAAGAGGAGTGCATGTTCCCAAAGGCGACAGACAGCTCCTTCAAAAACAAACTGTACGACCAGCATCTGGGGAAAAACAGCATCTTTCAGAAGCCCAAACCGTCCAAAGGAAAGACTGAGGCCCACTTCTCTCTGATGCACTACGCCGGCACAGTCGACTACAACATCAGCGGCTGGCTGGAAAAAAACAAGGATCCACTTAATGACACTGTGGTGCAGCTTTACCAAAAAGCTTCCCTCAAACTGCTCTCTCAGCTCTTTGCCACATATGCAGCTGCTGACGGTCAGTTCACATTTAATCACAAATATCACACATATCAAAGAAACCATTACAATGAAATTATTTTTTTGACTTTACTTTTTCAGGTACGCTGTTAATCTTGTGGGGTTTTTTTTCAACAGATGGAAGTAAAAAAATCTCAAAGAAAAAGGGATCTTCTTTCCAGACAGTTTCTGCACTTTTCAGGGTAAGAACCAATATGTTGTTAAAGTTAATACATTTTAAATGTGGTTTAAATTTTGTAAACCACTTGATAAAATACATTTATATAAGCCATGTTTACTACACGATGACCCAAAACTGTCACCATAAAGTAACTTTGTGTTGTCTTGATAACATTAACTGCATGGGAAATTGTAAATCGTGTGCCTTTTTCAGAAAAAGAATCATTTAAATTTCATCTTTGGGCCTTCGAAATGCATTGAAATAAAACAACTGGTTGACATTTGCAAGCCATAAAGGTAATAGAGAACGTATCTAACAGCTGAGTTTTCTACTTTTCTGATAATAAATTCAGTTTTTTAAATTGTTTTTGAAGCATTAATTAAGAAATGATCAAATTTAAGCACACAGAATATTTAAAAATAAATCAAAATGCAAATAACTTGACTGGTGTATTCTAACAGTATCTACAGCTCTGGACAAATGAGACTAATTACTAGTTCTACACATTCAGTGACTTTGCAGACAAAAATACATTACAGCAGAAAAGACCAAGTATTCATAAACATTTTAAGCCACAACACAACATGAATAGATGCTTCTTGAATCGCAACAAATGAGGACATAAATATGAAACTGAGCAGCACTGACTTAGCTTGTCTTTGAGAGTTGCTGTGGTGTAAAATGTTTCTGTAAACTTGTCTCAATTTATTTTTTTTCATTTTTGTTTGTCACTTTTTCAATGTGTCGGTGTCCTTTTATGTTACAATTAAAGAGTTTTACTGATTAAAGTAGTAGTTAACTGACAGCTGTCTTGCCACAAGTTTGAGGAGAAAGTTGATACCATGCTCCTGTCTGTTATCTGCTGAGCGTTAAAGATGCTGATCAATGCTAAGCTAACCATCTGCTAGCTCTGACTTCATATTTACAGTAAAAACCTGATAAAGGAGTCATTCCATCTAACTGTAATCTGTTTATTTGCTGCAGGAAAACCTGAACAAACTGATGGCGAACCTCAGGTCCACACATCCACACTTTGTAAGATGTATCATCCCAAATGAGACCAAGACACCAGGTAAGAAAATAAAAAAAATAAAAAAAACATCAACACCTTTACCAAGACCTGGATAACTTCCTGATTTGATGTTGTTCTGAGGGGAAATGTTCTCCATGTTATACAGGATCCATGGACCACCATCTGGTCCTTCACCAGCTGCGATGTAACGGTGTGCTGGAAGGTATCCGCATCTGCAGGAAGGGATTCCCCAGCAGGATTCTTTATGGAGATTTCAGGCAGAGGTAACACACCGCACTTTTTTTTCCCGTTGAACAAACAGCAGAGTTTAATCGAGTCTGAAACTGAACTTCTTCATGCGTCTGACAGATATAGGATTCTGAATGCCAGTGCGATCCCTGAGGGTCAGTTCATCGACAGCAAGAAGGCCTCGGAGAAACTGCTGTCCACCATTGACGTGGACCACTCTCAGTATAGATTTGGATACACAAAGGTATTTTTGAGAAAAATCTGTAGGTGCAGTTACTCTTACGATGGATTGTTTTCTTCAAGTATTGATAGTGGAGAATTTTAGCTTCTCACTGAATTTTGACACAGTTCATAATGTTTATTTCAGTCTAAACTAATCAGAAAATAGTCTTCAGTCTGTTCTACCAACCTGAACAAGACAGATGTGAAATTCAGTTGGTCCCTGTCAACATTCAGGTGTTCTTCAAAGCTGGCCTTCTGGGTCTCCTGGAGGAGATGAGGGATGAGCGTCTGGCTGTGCTGATGACTCGAATCCAGGCAGTGTCTCGTGGTTACGTCACCAGGCTGAGGTTAAAGGAGATGACGAAGAAAAGGTCTCCGACGCATGTGTTTCTTTACGGGAATTAATTTGAATATGTGGGTTATCAAACTAAATGAAAACAGAAAGAAGGAAAATCTATTTCACAACCGTGAATTGTAATGCAGCAGAAATTTTCTTTCAAACTGTCATCATTTTGAGGATTAATTGCAGTGGAAAATATGTTGCTTGCAAATTAAGTCTTCAAGGAGACATTTGAAAATCATTTGAACTTTTCTATCCAGATCTAAGTTCGTAAGTTTCTTCCTTTTCTTCATCTTGTCTTTTTTGTTTGAGCAGCAAGAAAAGTGGTGATGAAGTTTTTCATCATTCACAGTTCAAACTAAATGTTTATTGTTTTGTTGTTTCACTCCGTAGAGAGTCTATTTACATCATCCAGTACAACATCCGCTCCTTCATGAATGTGAAGAACTGGCCGTGGATGAAGCTCTTCTTCAAGATAAAGCCTCTGTTGCGAAGTGCGGAGGCTGAAAAAGAGATGCAGACGATAAAAGAGGAGTTCGCCCGACTCAAGGAGGAGTTTGCAAAGTCGGAGTCCAGGAGGAAGGAGCTGGAGGAGAAAATGGTCGTGCTGGTTCAGGAGAAAAACGACCTCTACCTTCAAATACAAGCAGTATGTAAACACTCAGCCTCAAATGGAACAAAGTGGGTTGTTTGTATTGATTTTGTTCTGTTCGATAAAAAGATCAGATTAAAAGAAAGTTTTCTCAATAATACGGTGAGATAAGAGGAAACAATATTGATCCTAGCGAGGAAACTGGGTGAAAAGAAAACTTAGCTAATAGCACTGATTAAAAACAAGAGCAGACAGATTGATTAGAATAAATGCAAATGATGTTATAACGCTATTAGAACAGATTAAAAGAGAAGGTACGGGTTAAAAGTTTGGATACAGCTTCTTATTTGAGACTTTTCTTTATTTTTACTATTTCCTACAGTGTAGGAAACTGAGGACATACACAATATGAAATAACACAAAAAAGTGGTCCACGTTTTACTTTCCCCACATCAGCCACTCTGCCCAACTTACTGTAGCTTTGCACACCGCTGCCAGCTTCATGAGGTTGTCCAGTTTAACAGATGAGTTTTGTCAAAAGTTATGTGGTGGATTGTTTTTTCCTTCTTCCTTCTGTTGTATTGTGTTGATGTAGTGATGCTACACAGCTAGCAGCCCTATCACAAGAACAGCTCAACTGAGTAATCAGAAATGACAGTTCATCAATAGTTTAAGACATGAAGGTCAGTCAATTCAGCAAATTTGAAGAAAGTTTATTTTGAAATTATCAAACGTCAGATGAAACTGGCTCCTATGAGGACTGCCCCAGGAAAGCAACACCCAGATTTCCCTCTGCTGCAAAGAAGAAGTTCATTAGAACCTCAGAAATCAAAGGTTAACAGCAGATTTGATCAGATTAGAGTACACATCAGTGCATCCCAGAGTTCAAGCAGCAGACTACTGTGTTAAATGAGGAGACTGTATGAATCAGGCCTTTGCAGTGTAACTGCTGTAGAGAAACCACTACAGACGGAGACCAAGAAGAAGAAAATAACTTCTTTGACTAAAAAAAATACAAGGAGTGAACATGACGTCACTTGAAATCTGAACACAGAGAAGGTAAACGGATGCTGTCTCCATGTGTGGTTCCCACCATGAAGCTTGCAGAAGGAGCTTTAAATGGGCACTTTTGCAGTGAAAGAGATGGATATTTATGTAACATGTAACCAGCATGGCTACCACAACATCCTGCAGAGACACACCATCCCATTTGGTTTGAGCTCAGTGCGACCACGATTAGTCTTTTAGAAGAACAATGAGCCAAAAAACTTGCCTAAGCTCTGTAAGGGCTGTTTGACCAAAAACCAGAGTGATGGAGTGCTGCATTAGATGACATGACCTCCACAATCACAGACCTCAACGTATGTGGGAACTCCTTCAAGATGACAGATGAAGATGAAGACCTCCCGAGGCTGGTTGGAGAACCTTGGTAAAGCTGGTGTCAAAATAAAATGGTTTTGATGTGTTCAGTTTTGCTCTATGAGATAGAAAATAATGACCAAACCATTGAATGAGAGGGTGTGTCTAAGTTTTTGAGGAATAAATAACCTTAATCTATAGTTTAATAATATACTTTTACTGCACTACAATAATCATCATCATCTCCGCTGTGTCTGTTCTTAAGGAGAGGGAGAATCTGTGCGATGCTGAGGAAAGGTGTGAAGGCTTAATAAAGAGCAAGATCCACCTGGAGGCCAAAGTCAAAGAGTTCTCCGAGAGGCTGGAGGAAGAGGAAGAGATCAACGCCGAAATCACCGCCAAGAAGAGGAAGCTGGAGGACGAATGTTCGGAGCTCAAAAGAGACATAGACGACCTGGAGCTTACCATCGCCAAAGTGGAGAAGGAGAAATACGCCACAGAAAATAAGGTGCCTGATTATTTATCCTGTCAAGCCTTTTAAACAATCTTAATAATCCTACACAGACCTTTTAAACAAGTTAAGAATTCAATGCAGAAAATTAAAAAGTGCTTCTGTCATTAGGTTAAGAATTTGGTGGAGGAGTTGAGCACTCTCGAGGAGAATCTGTTGAAGTCCTCTAAGGAGATCAAAGCCCTGCAGGAGGTGCACCAGCAGACTTTAGACGACCTCCAGGCTGAGGAGGATAAAGTAAACTCTTTAATGAAAATGAAGATCAAGTTGGAGCAACAGGTTGATGATGTAAGTATGGAAAGACTTAATATGTCTTAAAATTGAGCCAACGTACTTTACCTGTGGTTGATGTAACCGTATCTTGCAGCTAGAGGGCTCGCTGGAGCAGGAGAAGAAGGTGCGGGCCGACTTGGAGAGATCCAGAAGGAAGCTGGAAGGAGATCTGAAGCTCTCTCAGGAAACCATTATGGACCTGGAGAATGAAAGACAGCAGGCGGAAGAAAGACTGAAAAAGTAAGCTGCTATGTCCTAAAACATAGGAGGCCTGATATCAAATTTATCAAGTTGTGGGTTATAGACAGTGGTGATGATGAAGACTCATGCACATAACATACAAAAACTTGCTGAAAGTAGTAGATCCCCATTTTGGCAAATATTTGCTTTGTTTGAGAGCTTTATGTTTACTACAATGACATGAGAGCAGTATCAATGATGCAGCAAGAAGCCTTAAACTAGCATTAAGTCATCTTCAGCTGTTCCAGAAAGCAGCAATAGGAAGAGAGCATCAGTTGTAACTTCCCTTCATTGGTTCCTGATTGCTTTTAGAACACTTTAAATTCAACAGAAGTTTTGAATGGCTCGCTAAGCTGTGTCTCTGACCTCTTTGGTCCCTTACACTTAGGACACTGTTAAGTTAACAAAAAAAAAGCTCTTTTCACAGTTCAAAATGCCAGACTTTCAAAAATGGTTGGCTTTACTTTTGCAGTTTTAGTTTGCAAACTGTTGAATCAATCTATACAAGAGCCTGTGCATGTTCTGCAGCTAAAATCATACCTCTAGAGATTTAAAATGGTTTTAACTGACTTGTGATGCTATATCCTGTTTTGGTATTGTTAACCTTAACTTATATTTTTCTCATTGTTTTATGTGCAGTACTGTATTAGCTGTAGTAGCTGATGAAAACTGTTCTGTAAACTAATATAATATTATCAGCATATTTTTAAAAAATAATGGACTCTCCTTTTAAACTAGTTGGTGGGAAAAAAAAAATAAAAAACTAATTTTTAACAACCTAATTCCAAAAAGTACGCCAATTGCAATGACGCATTACTCAAATAAGTCAGATACCAAGATATCTGTACCAATTTATGTTTCTCTTTTCAGAAAAGACTTTGAAATCAGCAACCTGCAGAGCAAAATTGATGACGAACAAGCTCTTAGCACTCAGCTACAAAAGAAGATTAAAGAGATTCAGGTATTTATTTTATTTCTAATAATATTCTAGCAGCATTTCAGTTAATCCTCTACATTATGAAACTTATTTTTACACACATTTTCACTGTAGGCTCGAACTGAAGAGTTGGAAGAGGAAATCGAGGCTGAGCGTGCGGCTCGGGCCAAAGTGGAGAAGCAGAGGTCTGATCTGTCCAGAGAGCTGGAGGAGATCACCGAGCGGCTGGAGGAGGCCGGAGGAGCCACCGCCGCTCAGGCCGAGCTCAACAAGAAGCGAGAGGCCGAGTATCAGAGGCTGCGTCGCGATCTGGAAGAGTCCACCCTGCAGCACGAGTCCATCACCGCCACTTTACGCAAGAAGCAAGCCGACAGCGTCGCAGAGCTCAGCGATCAGATAGATAACCTTCAAAGGGTCAAGCAGAAACTGGAAAAGGAGAAAAGTGAACTGAAGATGGAAGCTGATGACATGACAAGCAACGTGGAGAGTGTCCTGAAGAACAAGGTAAACATGTGTCTGCAGAGGAATACGTCTCTCACAGAGTTCTCTTTTCACAGTCAATGTACTTGATGCTGATGCTCAATATTTCAGGCTAATCTGGAGAAAATGTGCAGGGGCCTTGAAGACCAAATGAATGAATACAAGAGCAAGGCAGATGAAGCCCAGAGGTCCCTTAGTGATTATACCACCCTCAGTGCTCGTCTACAAACAGAAAATGGTAGGTTCCTGATTTAATACACTGAAAAAGAACATTTAAGATGTGCAGATAAGTCAGTTTCAGTCTTTTTTTCTCCCTGAAAGGCGAACTTACACGTCTGCTGGAAGAGAAAGAGACTACTCTTTCACAGCTGAGCAGAGGGAAATCTGTGGGGAGTCAGCAAATCGAAGAGCTAAAGCGACTTTTGGACGAGGAAATTAAGGTCTGAAAGGCACAATAAAACCTGATGTTCAGATACAGCAGTGATTTAAACCTGCAGTAAAAAGTTTTCCCAGTTGCAGTTAGCACAGTTAATGTTAGTAGACATGATGTCAGAGGATACTAAAGGATGCAACAAAGCCAAACATTGAACACAGTATGATTTCAGAGCTGCACTCTTTGGTCAATTAGTCAATGGACAGAACATTTAACTATTTAGATTATCAGTGAATTGTTATGACCATTATTTTTTTTTAAAAAACAAAAAAACAAAACAAAAAAACCCCTCTTTTGACACTGATTATTTTTTTGGTGCATAGACATTAGGACAAGAAAAAACATTCATCGGTCAAATTGATCTGCAGCTTAATTGATGATTAAAGCAATAATGAACTGCAGGTAGATCAGCCTTTTGGCTTAACTTATATTAAAAATGCTCTGTAGAGGATTTCACAAACAAAGGCTTTTTTATGCCCAGTGTTGCTTGTAGTGAATTGATTTGTCAATCAGTTGAGTAGTCAAGTGACACAAAACTAGTTGGCAAACATTTGGATTATTGGATAATTGTTAAAGTAATTTGTCGGGCAAAAAGCTCCTTTGTCTCCTCTGAAAGCGTAGCGTGTTTAATACAAACATGGACTTCGATGCTGTTGGTTGGACAAAGAAAGTAACTGGAACACAGTGCCCTGACTTTAAGAAAGTTAGAACAAAACTTCATCACTATTTTCTAGAATATTACAAATCAAAGTCAGATTTTGATAACACAAAATAATAACGACAGTACAATATAAAAATGATTGGCTGCTGCAATGTGAGATCTGACAAACATTCTGAATGCATTTCTTTACTCAACAAACTTTGAAATGCCATTTAAAAAAGTATTTTACACCTTGCATCAATGTTTTTGTTGTTTGCTGTTGGTGCGTTGCTCAGCTTCTTTGGGCATTTCCATTACCAACTGTTGATTAGTGCAGCTTGCTCACATACTTACAAACACAAGCTGCAAAAACTAGTCGTCAGAAACTCAACAGTACCCTTTACTTGCCTTTAATCAACATGTTGACAATATTAATGGATGAAATGACAAGATAAACAAAGTTTAATGTGGAAGGGTAAATGGAGCTTTGTAGAAATTTTCAACTCACTGTCTGTCACAACTTCACTCTTCTGGTTCACTCTCACCACTCCATCGTGTCACTTTCTGTACATGACCTACTCAGGATGACAAAAACATTCAGACATGGTTAGAGACTAGCTGGTGAACACTTGGTAGCTAAAGAGTCAGATATTTCCCTCAGGAATCAGTAGAGAGCAAAACAGACCCCAGATGAATGCTGATGTTGTTCTGTAACTGCTGAATGTGGAAGATTTTTATTGTTGATCAGCAGTTGAAACTTAAAAAGGGATGATAAGTCAATGTTACAGTTTCTGCTTTCCCCAAATGACAAAAAAAAAAGGTATTTCATTTCACTAAAGCAGTTTTAATTCCGGTTCTTTGCTGTATGTGTTTTTACCTTTTCAGGCTAAAAACGCCCTGGCTCACAGTTTGCAGTCGTCTCGTCACGACTGCGAGCTGCTAAGAGAGCAGTACGAGGAGGAGCAGGAGGCCAAAGCTGAGCTGCAGCGATGCCTGTCCAAGGCCAACAGCGACGTGGCTCAGTGGAGAACCAAATACGAGACGGATGCCATCCAACGCACCGAGGAGCTCGAGGAGGCCAAGTGAGGAAAGCGCAGCATATTTCTAAAGTCGGTGCCGATGGGCTCGTTCTGCTTTAACACAGTTTATCTTTGGTTTAAAGGAAGAAGCTGGCTCAGCGGCTGCAGGAGTCTGAGGAGATGACAGAGGCAGCAAATGTCAAATGTGCTTCACTGGAGAAAACCAAGCAGAGGCTGCAGGCGGAGGTCGAGGATCTCATGGTTGAGCTGGAAAGGTCAAACGCAGCCAATGCCATGTTAGACAAGAAACAGAGAAACTTTGACAAAGTATGTCTTTCTTTCTCCTTCTCATCCCTCTTTTCAGAAACATTTCCTCATTTGTATCATGTTGACGCTGCACTGATTATACACATTGTCTCTCCCTTGTTAGGTTCTGGTTGAGTGGAAACAGAAATATGAGGAGAGCCAATCAGATCTGGAAGTCTCTCAGAGAGAGTCTAGAGGGCTGAGTACAGACCTCTTCAAGCTGAAAAATTCATATGAAGAAGCGCTGGATCACCTTGAGAACATGAAAAGAGAGAATAAAAATCTTCAGCGTAAGATTTTCTGTAGTAAAAGTCTGTGTTTTGGTGCTGAAAGGCAGCAGTGATTGTATTTTACCAACAAAGAATATGTTTGTTTATTCATTTGCAGAGGAGATCTCAGATATCACCGAGCAAGTTGGACAATCTGCTAAAACTATTCATGAGCTGGAAAAAGCTGCAAAGCAAGCTGAACAAGAAAAGAGAGACACACAAGCAGCTCTCGAGGAAGCTGAGGTTCGTTTAATGTCCATAAACTTGAAAAATTCAGAAAATATCCACAAACCTAAGTGTTGATGTCTGTCCCTGAAGTCTTCCCTGGAACACGAGGAGGCCAAAATCCTGCACCTTCAACTGGAGCTGAACCAGATCAAGTCGGAGGTGGACAGGAAGGTGGTGGAGAAAGACGAGGAAATCGACCAGCTCAAGAGGAATCACCAGAGAACCGTTGACACTCTGCAGAGCACGCTGGACGCCGAGACGCGCAGCAGAAACGATGCCATCCGGATGAAGAAAAAGATGGAGGGCGATCTAAACGAGTTGGAAATTCAGCTGGGTCACGCTAACCGGCAGGCAGCCGAGGCAACCAAACAACAGAGAAACCTGCAGACTCAGCTGAAAGTTAGTGTGAACTATAATTATTATAATTTGCTATGCAGCCAGCAGTAAAACAATCAATCCATGCAACAATCACACAGAAACAACAATAAATACCAAAGAGACAATAATAAATAATAATAATAAAAAAGCAGGAAGTAGATCTACTTGTTCAGCAGAACAAAGGCAGCAGGGACAAAAGAATGCTTGCATCCGTTGGTCCTGCATTTTGGCGGGACGTACCTGTGCCCTGACGGAAGCAGCAGGAACTCACAAGCCAAGGGGTGGCTCTGATCCATAAGGATTGAACAGGCCTTACTTAAAGTTGTGATCTGATACCGGGCTGAGAGGTCATTCAGGTTGATCCTTACAATTTTGCTGCACAGTCTTACGATACCCTGCAATCTGTTTTTATTTTTGAGGGAAAGGGAGCCGTACCAACAAATAAAAGAGAAGGTTAAGATGGATTCAATAAAACAAGAGTAAAACATTCACATAAAAGTGCTGTTGACAGTGAGGTCAGATGTTTGTGTTTTACAGCTTCTTGCCTTCTGCCTCAGGACACACAAGTCCATCTGGATGAAGCCCTCCACAGTCAGGAGGACCTAAAGGAGGAATTAGCAATCGTAGAGCGTCGCAACAATCTGATGATGGCTGAGAACGAGGAGATCAGGGCAGCGCTGGAGCAATCTGAGAGAAGCCGAAAGCTCGCTGAGCAGGAACTGATCGATGTCAGCGAGAGGATTCAGCTGCTGCACTCTCAAGTGAGCACACAAAATACTTGGTGCTTTTACTTAAAGAGCCCCTGTGATGCTTTTGGCGTTTTTTGATTCTGTTTAGTGCACTATAGCTTTTTTGCGCATCATCATCATCGTTCACATCAAAAGGATTTATTCTCTTATACAGAAAACACTGCTTCTTACCTTATTTTAATAAATGAGGACTTCTTCCACCACTGACAACAAGTATGGTTAAATAAACAATCCTAAAATGTGTGAAAATTACAGTTTGTAGAAAATATCACAATTTGGGTTCATTTATAAACTGTGTATTTGTAATCAGTGGTGGAATACAACCAAGTAGTTTAACTCACGTATATTATTTTACTCTAAATAAGATCATTTATAATCACCTTGCATAAAATGAACACCATATTGTGTTGAAGGAGAATCTAAACGAGCAATTAATACCATAAACCCATGAGGAAAATGTTTACTGAGGTAGCTAGTCAAGTGGCGAGCAGGGTCAGTTTGTCATAGACTTCTGTACAATGTTGTTTTTTTTTTTTTTGGCAACCAAGGAAGTCGCCTCCTTCTGGCTGTTAGAAAGAATGCAAAAGCTTAAGGCACTTCTGCATTGGCTTAAATTTTCAGACATGGAGGCTACATCCATCTCTTAAAAACAGTTTTTGGAAAAATACTTATTTGAAAGTATTATTTGGTACAGTCCTGTATGAAATAGTGCTCCATCACAACCAAGTGCAACAGTACAATCCTGCATTTATACAAATGCATTACTGACAGTATTGTCATTATGCAGTCATAGGGGCCATTTTTCTGCAATGGCAACTTTTGACATTTTCCTGATTATGCTTTTTCAATATAGGACTTTTTGCAGTGTGATATTAGTACTGTTACTTATGTACAAAAAACTCCTGCACAGCTGCTCATAATTAATACTTAAATGTTATTTAATGATCAGAATACAAGCCTCTTGAACAGCAAAAAGAAGACAGAGGCTGATTTGGGTCATCTGCAGTCAGAGATGGAGGACAGCATCCAGGAGGCGAGGAACGCAGACGAGAAGGCCAAAAAAGCCATCATGGATGTGAGTCTCCCGCTCAATCCAATTTACTGCACAGCCGTTTAAATGAGAACTGCTGGACTTTGAGGTCGGATTAAAATTTCACAGTGAGTTCGCATTTGCATGCAGGCTGCCATGATGGCTGAGGAGCTGAAGAAGGAGCAGGACACCAGCGCTCACTTGGAGAGGATGAAGAAGAACCTGGAGGTCACAGTGAAAGACCTGCAGCAGCGTCTGGACGAGGCCGAGCAGCTGGCTCTGAAAGGAGGGAAGAAGGAGCTGCAGAAACTGGAATCCAGGGTAGGAATCAACACAGGACACAACTGGAGCGCAGAGAAATAAAAAAGATGAAAAGTCATTTAAACTAAATATATTTTTAAGGTCCGAGAGCTGGAAAATGAGTTAGAGGCGGAACAGAAACGCACCGGCGAGGCTATGAAAGGTTTGAGGAAATATGAAAGGAAAATTAAAGAGCTCACTTATCAGGTAAGGAATATATCCTGTTATGTAACAGCGAATTTCACAAGCTGAGGTTTGACTGCTTGGAGCAGGACAGAGAATATTAAAAAAGAGATGAGAGAGTATCACCTCAGATGTTTTTTTCAGGGTGACGAGGAAAAGAAGAACGCAGCACGACTGCAGGATCTGGTCAACAACCTGCAGCTCAAAGTGAAGGCATATAAACGGCAGTGTGAGGAGGCGGTGAGTAAAAATACTTAACTACTGTGTGAAATGTAGGCTTGTGGCGCACCTGATGTAGAGTCTTACCTTATGTACCGTCGTCTGTGGCACACAGGAGGAGCAAACCAGCGTCCATTTGGCAAAGTTTCGGAAGGTGCAACATGAACTGGAGGAAGCTGAGGAGCGAGCTGATATCGCGGAGTCCCAGCTGAATAAATTACGAGCAAAAAGCCGAGATGTTGTTGGTAAAGCAGAATAGAAATCTACACAGGTACAGTCCACTTCAGGAAAGATAGCACTGTCACTTCAGTTAGGAAAAATAGCTCTGGTTTGTCGTGATGCATTTTTTTTACATAAACAAAATTATGTTTGAAGTGATTTAATTAGGTTAAGAAGTAGGAAAAAGAGCTTCATCTATAAAGGACAGTTTCCAAAATTCCTACTGAAGATATGCATTGTTTCCTCAGACAGAGATGCAGTGGTGGTATGTAACAAAATACATTTACCCAGAATATTTTTTTCATTCGTACTTATTTTTTAAGAGGTTTGTCATATCTGAAAAGCCACAAACTCCCTACATGGATATAGTTTCATCAAAACATGTTTAGTAAGTGTGTAAGTACAGTTATGAGGTTGTTGTACTTGTATTGGAGTCATTTACTTTCATGCCACTTTAGAATTCTACTTCATTTCTGCTCCATTTATCTGACAGCTTTACAAAATGAAGATTCGAATAAGTATTATGCAAAACTATCCCAATTTAATGATCCCAGCTCCTCAGTGTATCCTTTCCTTTTCATTATTGGAGTGGTTTAATTGATTATTGGTAATTTTGAGGTTTTGCCTGGAACATACCTCAGAATTATGGCAACAAGGTGTGAGTTTGGGTGACAGACTTTTTGAGAAATTTTTATGACTCAAGTAATAATAAGTTGCAGCCTTATATAAAAAGTTTAAAATGCTCTCCGCCTCAACCAAGTACACCAGTACAATGCTGCTTAAACATGAATGTGTCAGAAAAATCAATCTAGTAATGGGTCATTTTACTGCTTTGATTATATTTGCATTGTAATCAGGTATTTTTAGTGTCAATACTTCAACTTAAGCAAAGAGTCTTCCTCCTACACTGAAAATATTATACAGCATTATTTTGTTAGGTCATGGGATGCCAGCAGGAGAATCAGATTTTTTAGTCAGCAGATGTCTCAAATCTTGCAGCTGTACTAATCTAAATGAGATCATATTGTAATATTTAAAGGGTTACACTCATTAGGATTGCTACTCAGCCTGTGAAAGAAATTCTGTTTGCTCAGGGAAGGGTCTTCTAAAATACAAATAACTTTATTCACTATGTCCCAGATCTTAGCCTGAGAGACTATAACATTTAAAATGATAATAAACAGATGTAATGGAACAGATCACTGGATTGGCCATGTAACTGGTAAATTCTAATAAAACAACAACACACTTTAGCAACATGATGTCACAATATCTATCAATTCATTATTGTTCCAACTGTTTTTCTTTTATAGAACTCAGATTTCTGACCTCAACTGAATTAACTTAAATATAAAAAGACAACAGAACGACAGATTAAAAAAAGCCTCTTAGTTGTCATATTAGAGGCTATTTATAGCTGCACTTCAGATAAATGTTCATTTCAGCACGCTAACATGCTGATGTAAAGCAGATTTGCCATCTTCACCATATTGGTTTAGTATGTTAGCTTGCTCCAATTAGCTAATTATCACTACAGACGATGCTTATGGGAATGTCATTACTCATGCATTTGTTTAAGCATATTTTAGCCATAATTGTTATAAATATGAAGACCCTGTGAGTCTGATTTATGTATACTGAATACTACAGTTTATACATGGAATTTATAATAATATGGTCATCAGGCTGTTAAAGGTGTGTGAGTGTGGCGATGGTTGGGGTTGTGAGTCTCCTTTACATTGAGGGTCGGACGCTGAAAAGTTTTGCAGCTCCTGCTGTCGAAGATATAAATATATGAACTAAATGTCATAGTAGGCCATCCAGAAGGGGTGAAGACATTATAAAGGCAGTCGGACTCAACCTCTGGGGATCATGAATATCTGTACAAATCTGCATAACAATAATATTTGATATCTGAATATCTGTCTGCACCACACTGGTGGACATTATTAGAGCTGCGCTGCGATCTCAGCTAAAAATATTCCGATTGGTTGCCATCTGTTACTATGTAAAGAAAGACTTGTCAGACAAGTAAAATTATATGTTCCAAAGAAAATCTTGGATATATGCTACATCTGGTCACCATTCTGTGCCGTTAATCCTGGGATCAGCCTAGACTGAGCCAAGCAAACAGCAACAGCTCAACATGTTCCAGGAATAGTGTCTACAGAGCAGTTATTTAAGAACTGATATTCTTTACAAGACAGAAAAATGCCTCTGAAAGTCTTTGTGTCTGTCAGACACTGTGAAGCGTAATTTAATTTTAATGTAATCACAGTTAATCCCTCTGATTCTCTGAGCAGCCCTAATGTTATACACCAGTCAGACTTAAAACAAGACTGAAATATGGATTAAGAATTCCACAGATGCCTGATTTGACTGGAGTTTTTGCTATGACTTAAAGAAAAAAATTGACATGGATGCTGACTTTTTTGTGTGTAAAAAGAACTTCACCCTCAGCCTGCTCATATTGGAAACTGATGCGAATGGGAAATAACTCACTGTTTAGTGTTTGACTGCCATAAGATGGAGACACTTTATTCATGTTTATCAACTGTTGTTTAGTATCTGGAATCAATAAAGACTCCATAATCTGCTGCTAATCTAGTTTTTTTTATTCTACTAACAACAACAAAAAAAGAGATTGTGGTAGCACTGATTTAGAACCTGCAGTAAGTTAACAATATTATGCTTACAATAGATAAAACGAAGAAAAATAAATGCATTAGAACAACATGACTCTACTACCACACCACAGATTTTAACAAACAACTGAGGCGCACAACTCATGATGAAAATCTGCTCATCAACGCTGCAGTTACTCACCAATTCAACTGTAAAAATCACATTAGCATGGGCTCACAGCCGCAGCAGGAAACTACGGGAGACGGGATGAAAACCCCGAACACCACAAGCCTGATAATTGTGTGCATAGTGGAAGAGCATGGCCATTAGAGTGGACCTCGTGAAAATCCACCGTTTTCAGTGCTGTCAGCGCTGCGGTAATCAGTAGCAGCTGGTATGTTCGTGACATTTGTAGAAATCCCTGTGAAGCAGGGTTAGAATTACCCCTGTGCATATGTGACTGTCAGCAGGGAGGGTTACGTACAAGTGCTGAAGGTAACCTCCAAGGAGAGAGGAGGAGGAGGAGGAGGAGGAGGAGGACTTGAGGAGCTGACAGGTTGTTGTTTGCACTAACAGAAACAGGACACTTCAGTGGACAGGCGGGGACAGCTCGTCAACATCTTCAGTCAGATCGTAGGGTCAGTCACCTCACACACGGACGGATTACAAAATGAGCCACACAGGGGCCCTAAAGAGACGTGGGGCCCCTCAACCAGCGCCTCTATGTGAAGTGACTGTTAGCGTTTCTTATTGAAAAAGCGACGACTAAGGGCAGGCACAAAACAACAAGAGGCAAAAGAAAGGATGAAGACACAAAATTGTAGCAATGTGATGTGAAACAGCTTCAAAGAGACAAAAAAATGGCTCTTATATGATGAAAAATATCACTCAAAGACACAAAATGACCATAACGTCACCACAAAACGACACAAACAAGACACAGAATGGCTGCAAAAACACAAAATAGCTATGGAGTGGCAACAACACAATTGAAAGGAAAGGACAACAAAGAGACAGAAAGTGACTACAGAGAGACAAAAAGTGTCCACAAGGCAAACAACAACACAACCTTCATAATCCAAACTCCAACCTGCAGGTTTTGACGAACCACTAAAAAGATGATGAGAAATTTGACCCAAATATATCATTAAAATCAGTAAATTTGAGGGTCTATCTATATAGTTACACAGTAGAGTTCAATTATGTGTAATAATATTATTATGTTTACTTGCTTAAAATATGTGTAATCAAGCAAAATGTCTTCGTATAAATAATAATATCTGCATGAATTTATTATATTTAAAGCATTGAGTTAAATTCTTACCATAATTATTATTGGTATTACAAAGCCTATAAACATGTACTCTTCCACACTGATGGGATGTATTTCCAAGCTGACAAGCTGCTGTTCACACTTGCTTCCGTGCACATCTCCCCTTAATATGATGACATATTAGATTACAAACACTCTCCCATGCTTATTCTAAATGTGGCACAAAGCGGTGGCCATGTGTTTCCACCTGTGATATTCACCCTAGACGCTGTTATGTGCTAACTTGTAAACAAAGCAGACAAACCAGACAACTTCCCTCAAGGTGGCTGGCCATCGCCAACCCCGAACGCTAAAACTGCAAAACTGTAAAAAGAAATCTGATCAGCATGGACATAACTTCATTTAAATCCAGAAGTGTCATATTTGTCTGTGAATTAATATACACGCCTCAAATTGTCTTTACAAAGTCTTGACAGCGAGCTTAGTTAAAACGGTGTAAAGACTGTTAACCAAACTGTAAAACAGCGAAAAGCTCAATTTTATTTTGATAATTTTTGTCCACAAAAAATGGATTATTATGTCTGGTGTTAAATTTGTTTAAGTTTTTCATCCATTACATTTCATGGATGGTGTCCCACAGGGATCAATTCATGGCCCGATTCTGGTTTCCGGCTGCAATTTCTAACTACATTATTAATCTCTTCTGTTATTTAACTGTTATGCTAATGATGCACAACTTTATCTATCATTTAGAAGAAATGATTCTTTGAACAATAAAACAATAAGTAAAGGCAAACCGAACTGCAGAACTTTTGAATTGACATAAAACTCAGCAGCGTTTCTTGCCGTACCCAACACTCACCACTGAAACCTAAAATGAGAGATCGCTGAATACAGAAAACTTGAATGTGACAGTTTTGGTTGTTCTAAATAGTTTTTTTTTTGTTGTTTTTTTTGCTCTCGTGGTTTTGTTAAAACAAGAGGTTTTTGCATTTGTTACCCTATTTCTATTTCAACAGCTTAGCAGGCGATACCCCTGGATAACAGACCTTTCTATATCATACCGTACCAATAAAAACAAAACCAACAAAATCATGATATGTGCTGTACAAATAGTGTCCTATTACAGCCTCTAAAGGGTT